CGGGACAGGCAGAGGGAGGTCCCTCCCAGTGGCATTGCGGCCGGGGCTGTGGAGCTCGGGGCCAGTGGCAGTCTCTGGCCCCGTGCGGGGACACTGCAGTTTGTCAGTGACTGAAAGTCTGGTTAAATTGGACTAGATCTGCTCTCTTGTGTGTTTTTGTTGTCACTGACAGGAGTGATTATGAGCTTGTTGCTCTCAGATTCACCCTCCTGTGCACAGAGGCCGGAATCAGGGTGGGGCGCATGCCCACCGCGCTCCCCAGCCACCCACGGGATTAGTGCTTCAGGCCCTGCAGGGGGAGATCACGTGGGAAGAGCTGAGAGTAAGCCCAGGCATCCCTGGCTTTACCTCTGAAGGGTGGGAGACACCAGCCTTTGGACCCGATTCCTCCCCAGGGCGGCGCCGGGAGGGCTGAAGTGGATGAGCTGTGGGGAGGCCCTCTGGGCTACTGAAGGCATGGCCACTAAGTGTGGGCTCTGCTGGGGGATGCCCGTCTCACCTCCACTGCTTTCATTTCCAGGCTTCCCCTATAGGCTGGCGCACACATGCATACAGTCCTGCATTCCTGCACCAGGAATCCTGCAGATCACACGTGTGCATGCACGCAGATCACACGCACACACACACCCCAAAGTGCAGCTGGCCTGCAGGATGGAAGCTCTTGTTTCTCCCACGTCTCACCCTCCGACTAGAGTTTGCCTTGATGACTGGTGTTTGCATGGAGCTTTACAGTTTGTACGTGGCCCTGTTTCTTCCTCAGTTCTCCTGGTGGCCTTGGGAATACAATGGTGACTCTCCCTCCTGACCAACTATGTTCTGTGAACTTCATACTGTGATCAGGCTTTTCCGGGATGTTTAATCAGTAAGAAAGGAATATGGTGGTAAAAACTGATCAGCTAGCGAATTACTTTTTTATTAATAGGAAGTAGAAAACATTATGTCTTATATGTGATGAATAAGAGGAAAACTGATGTCGCCATTAAATATTTTGTGACCACAGGCAGCCACCCCCAGGCCGGGCCTGCTTCTGTCTCCCCTGACGTGTGTCTGTCCACCGTGCCGTGTGCCTAACAGAGGCCGCGTGCCTCCACGCAGAAGAGGAATGAGCCTTTCCGCCTCTCGCGTGCATGCCCTGAGCTGTCTTGCTGAGGTCTGAGCACCAGTGCTGGAGAAGCAAGGATGGGCCGAGCCAGGAGGCAGGGCCGGTACCAACGGGCAGCCTGGCGGCTCCATGGCGTCTCTGGGGGCCTCCCAGAGCCAGCTGTGTGACCGGGAAAGGTCCTCACCCGGGCCCTCTCTGGGAGGGGCGTGGACGGCACGAATCCCCCCCACCCCAGGTCCACTTCAGTGTGTCCCCGAACACGTGAGGCCAGGAACATGAGATCCCCTAATGAACATGACCCCCGCTAACAGGGTGGCCGCATAGCCTGTCGTCCACATGGGGGCCCTCGGCGGGTCCGAGACAGCGGTCCTGGGCCGAGTAGTGCTGCCTACGCTCCTGGACACTGGTGGTCTGGGACTGAAGCAGGACATCAGGGGTCTGTCACCACAGGGCCACACAGCTATGATGCAGTGTCGCCTTCCTGTGGCCGTCAGTCACTGCGGCTGGGGACGAAGCGTCCAGACCCAGGGGTGTGAAAGCCAGCCGTTTATCACATGCACAGATCCCACGGGTCGGGACCGCAGGAAGGGCTCTGCTCTTGCCGGGCCTCCGCTGGGTGGGGGGCTGGGGCGCCTGGGGGCTTCATGGCTTCCTCACCGCCTGGCAGCCACTTCCAAAAACAGGGTCCCAAGAGAACGGGCTGGAGGCCATGTCGCCTTTATGACCTTGTCTCAGGACCCCCGGGAGGGGACGCAGGCCAGACCAGCTGTAGGCAGAGCAGGCGGGTGACTACTGTGAGGGTCATCCCACCTCCCAGACCTCCCTCTGCCTCCAGTAACCTTCTTTCCTACTTTCTGGCTTTTTCTTCCAGCCAAACTGGCAGGTCTCAGAGGCTCCCATATAGATTCAGAGTTTCCAGACTGTAGGGACCGCCTTCCAGGATCTCGAGCTTTCTGCTAACTGTTGGCAGTACGTGCTTTCAGAGGAACTAGCTAACACCTGCCGAGAGTCTTGCTCTAGGGGCTTCTCCCCGGCATCTGGGGGGAGTCCATGCGTCCTGCAGCACATGCCCTTCGCTTCCTTGAGCCTGTGCTTGCTGAGTGCCGACTGCATCCAGGGTGCCAGGCCCATGTCAGCAGCCTGTGACCCAGAGCACATGTAGGGTGAAACACTGAGTGTGCGTCCTGTGCCGTCACCAGAGAGGACGGGGTGTGTGGTCTGCACCGGGCCCCTTCAGGAGGAAAAGGTGCCTCGTGCTTTCTGCCCCGTGGGCCAGGCCACTTTCTTTTCAAAAAGCGTTGAGGTGCACACATACACCCTCTTTTTCATCTGTAGACCGGTACCCCCACAATCGGCAGTCGAAGGCACAAAGCAGTGGCTGCCCCAGAAGTTCCCGCGTCACGCCATCTCCCACCTGCCCTGTTTCTCCTTGCGAGACCCCCCACGCCACAGGGCTCTAATTTCATCAGAAGCCAGCAAGCCTGGACAGGAGGGATGGGGGCTGCGGGGGGCAGCCTCCCTGGGTACTCACCGTGAGAGCAGCATGAACAGCTCAGATCTGGGCCTGGGGGGGCAGGGGCACCCTGGGCGGGGGTCCCAGGTGGAGGTGCGGTGTGCCCTGGGTGGGGGTCCTAATACTCACTGTGGGAGCCGCATGAGCCCCCCCTCGATGAGACAGGCAGGGCAGCAGGTGCCTGTTGCCCCCAGTGGCGGCTCAGGGCGTGGCAGGCGGGAGGGGGGGCGATGGCGAGGGTGCAGTTCAGCCCCTTGGGTCCACCTGTGAGTGCACCTCCCAGCTCTTGGTCGTTTTCCTGTTTTCTCTCAGAATCTTTTCTGTTCAGCAAATGCCAGTTTGGCAAGACCGGGAGATGAGGACAGCAGACACCCCCAACAGTGTGTCCTGGGCGGGCGGGCGGGCACAGGGAGGCCTTACCCTGGGCAGGGCGCTAACCCAGCGGCTGCTCTCATCCACAGGCTCCCAGGGGGGACCCAGCAGTGAGTCACGTAGCCAAGTGTGCCTTTATCCCAGTCAGAAAACGGGACATTTCACCAGGGAGGAGGGACGGGGGCAGATAAGCCCATGGAAAGAGGGTCGGCACCACGAGCCATCGGGAGCCCAGGTCAGACCCGTGAAGCGGCGTCTGCGCAGGCCTGAAAGCATGCCCATGTCGGGTGCTGGTGAGGCTGCAGAAAAACCAGGTCACTCACTCGGCCGGTGGCAGTGTGAGTGGGTGTAGCCACTCTGGAAGACAGGTGTGCAGCTTCTAGAAGGGTAAGCGTGAAACCACCGTACGACCCAGGGCGCACTCCTGGACAGTTGCCCCAGAGAGATGGGGACACGTTCACAGAAACCCGTGCGTGCGTGTTCCCTGTGGAGCGCTCAGCGGTGTGCTGCAGGGTCTGCTGGGCAGTATTTCTCAGCCCAACAAGGAAAACGTGTCGTACGCACAACAGCCTGGACGAGTCTCGGGCAGCTGGAGAACGGAGACACGGCCAGTCGCAGAGGGCTACAGCCTGTCTGTCGACACACGTCCTCGAAAAGACGGATGGGCAGTTGCCGGTCAGGGAGGGCTGGGTGTGGCCGCAAAGGCGCCATGAGGGTTCCTTAGCTGGGGGTGACTTGCATTGGTTTTTCAAGATGTTACCGTTGGAGGAACCGTGTAAAAGATACACGGGATCGCTGTGTGTTATTTCTACTACATGTGAGTCTACTGTTTTCTCAAAAAAAAAAAGTTTAATTAAAAGAACGCAACAACAAAAAAATACAAGCAAGCAAAATCTTTCTTGGCTCTTCATTAATATTCCTGCATTAATACAAATTAATCACTATGCATAAGTGCTATAGAGAGCAAGATTTAAGAAATTCAAGGATCATGGTAGAACTTCTGATAATTTATTTTTATGTGCTTATTTACTTATTTATTTATTTTAGAGAGAGGGCATGGGTGGGAGGGGCAGAAGGAGAGGGAGAGAGACCACACATCCTACTTCAGCACCCCTGGCCCCCAGCAGCCTTGGCCACACCTCCAACACAGCTCAAGATGTAGAGACAGCACCTGCACTTCGGTTCAAGTGTCTGTGTGCAGGATGTTTGGGATGTCTGAGACTGCTCAGCGGTGAAGGGTCCCGTCCTACAGAGTCTGAGTGAGGTGTGGAAAGGGGCTGGTCCCCACTGCATGTATCTGGGCCTGTCGCTGCAGAAGAAGCCACTCCCGTGGGGGCACACCCAGCAGCACAGGGCCTGCTCCCACCCCCACCCCAGGTGAGGCTCACAGAGTTCCTGTAAGGGCCCGGGCATGGCTAACAGCCGACCCTGCACTGCGCACTGTCTACCTCAGAGTGGTCAGTAAGATCTATGTCACCGAATCAGTCTCCTTATTAAGAAATTATCGGGGCACTTGGTAAGCCTCCAACTCTTGGTTGTGGCTCAGGTCGTGACTTCAGGGTCATGAGATCGAGCCCCACATTGGGCGCTGCGCTCAGCAGGGAGCCTGCTTGAGATTCTCTCTCCCTCTCCCTCTGCGAGTTGCGGTTCAGGAAGAGCGCCACTGAGGTAGTTGGGTGTTTGACCTTGTGAACAGATCACTGTAATTTGAATGCATTAAGGGGAAGCATTATCTGCGACAACTCTAACCCAGGGTGATTTCACGGGTGCTGCTGGGACTGGCAGGTCAGGACCGTCCAGTGTGGGGTCCACCCAGAACCCTGCACTGTGTGGGTACCCTCCCTCTTCCTCTTCCCTCCTGGAAGTTTCCCCCAGCCTGGTTGGATGCAGGTCTCTGTTAGTTCCCTGCTGGGTGTGCCAACTTACACCAGGTGAGATGTATGTGCACTGGTGTGTGCGTGTGTGAGCTCTCAGGGACTTTCTTTTGTTAAGTTCTGTTTTGTTGTTTCACAGATTATAGGTTGCCAAGTAAGGAGAGAGCCCCCCGACTCCACTGAGCGATACACACGGTGGATCAACCAGCTAGCGGCGGACCAGCTTCTTACTCAGGTACCCCTGCCCGGGTCTGGGAGCCCACCCAGGACGTCCTGAGAGCTGTCAGTCCCTGTGTTTGCCCGCCTGCTGGGTGTGGCCTGGGAAGGAGCCAGAACCAGCAGGCAGGTGCAGAAGGCCTGGCCGGAGGCTGGGGAGGGACAGAGGTGTCCAGGAAAGGCCCAAGTTCCTGGCAGGACTGGGGGCCATCCCCAAGGCAGGCTGCCTTGGAGCAGGCAGTGTGAGAGAGGGAGCTGAGATGCACCTTCTGGGCGGGGCTGGCCCAGAAACCACCTGTGAGGCTGGTGTGACCCGGAGCGGAAGCGGGACTAGGTGTTCTGGTCCCAGCTTCAGGTTTGCCAGGGGCTGGAGTCCCTGGAGTTTGCTTCTGTAATTGAACCGGCTTCCCTGGCTTTTAAACTCTACACACACACACACACACACACACACACATACTGTATTCACATACACACAGACACACAAACTCTATTCCCTCACACACAAACTATTCCCTCTCACACACACACACATAAACTATTCACACACACACAATTCCCTCTCCCACACAAACTCCATTCCCTCACACACACACACACAATTTCCTCACACACACACACACAAACTCTTTTCCCATCCACACACATAAACACACACACTTTATTCCCTCACACCCACACACACAAACCCTATTCCCTCACACACACACACACACAAACTGTATTCTCTCACACATAAACACACACACACACAGAAAGTGCTTCTGCATTTGCACTTACTTATCACATTTTGAGAAGATGAAGATTCCGTGAATGGCCTTTTATAGATACCGGTGGTTAAAGGCACGGAGAAGCTGATTTGTTTTCCAACTCCTCCTAAAGCTGAATAGGCAGGAGAACAGCCAGCGTGTGGGCCCTGCATAGCCTGCACACTCCCCTGGGACGTGGAGCCTTGAGGTGGGAGTGCATGGACGTGTGCGGGGTCAGCGGCAGGTGGTGCCGCTCCTTCCTGCCCCTGCCAGGCAGTGGCCAGCAGAATCACACCGGGTCCCCGCTCTCTCTGGCGGCTCCCCAGCTAGAGCAGAGAATGTCTGGGTCTGGTCGTGAGCATCATTACACGCGTGGAGAAGCACACAATCTGTGGGCCTTGCTGCCATGCTTCTCCTGGTCCTTCCCTCCATGGGGGGGGGCTGGCCTGTGTGGTTCACGATTCTGGGATGTGCTGCCTTTTTACAGACACTTTGTCAGGACACGTACTTGTGTTCGCTTTTTATGTTTTTCTTAACCAAGATCACAGCTGATTCAGTGAAGAGCTAGTAAGAGCTTTCATGTTCCTAACTGGGGAATTAAAATTTCATAATCAGTGTGAAAGCTTCTGGCCTCCAGTTGGCCCAGAGGTCCCCCTGATTTGGGGCACCCAGAGGCTCCTTGGACAGGGCCAGGCTCAGCCCGGCACCAGCGAGGGTTTGGAAACACTCAGCTCTGTGAATATTGGAGCACTGGCAGCTGTGTGGAGTCGGACTTCTGCCTGCGTGTTTGGTTCTCTGGTAGAATGTGAGTCATGCAGGGACTATGTAACCAAACACTGAGGGTGTAATTTAAATGCAGTGGACACTTTTAGAGCCAGAAATTCGAGTTCTGAGTCGAGAGCTAACAAGACTTAACTATTAAGTATCATAGAAATAATTAAGGCAAGGTCCTCTTAAATAGTGTTTTTCTTTATCAAGTTAGGAGAAATTAAAGTCTGAAGTTTTTTCAAAATAAACTGAAAGAAGCTGGTGTTATTTAATCCACGTGTCAGCTGCCACAGGGGCAGAAACCATCACCGCCATGTTAATAAGGTGAACAGACCACCAAGTGAGGTCTGTGTTCATCCTCTAAGCTGATCTCATTTGTGAGGTGGGGAGCAGCACGATTTGATATTTGGTGCCCACTTTATGCCTTCAGTGAGGCACTGTTCCCTAGGGACCTGCATCTCCTGCATTAGGGAGACCAAAGAGGGGGCAAGGCCGGGCCCTCCCTGCCCCCTGCCCCAGGGTTCTGGCAGCGAGGGCTGGAGGGGAGCAGAGGCGGCTGGCCCCTCAGGTCGAGGGCTCAGGCCACACTGCAGATCAGCCGCAGGCCTGGTGAGAAGTCCTGGTGTCATGATCCCGCCGGGGCCCCCTCCTGGTCCACATTACAGTGGGTGCCCAGGGCTGGTCACACCCCAGAGGCCAGTGGCCTCCATCAGCTGCATTACCTCGGTTTTGCTCATAGAATTCAGGGGTTTAAGCACAAAATCCAGACTCATTCTTTGACCACTCATTTGAAGATACTTGGCAACACAAAGTAAGGGTCGCCTCTGGCTGATTTAAAAGACGGTGTGTGGGGGCTGTGGGTGACAATGCTGCTCTCCTGTCTGTGGGTGGACAGTCGGTCTTCTCCTGGTTACCTGCTTTTCCTTTTACACGTGAGCAGCATCGGCAGCAAGACTGTCAGAACTCACCTGCTGTGTAAAAAGACTAAGTTTCACACTCATCTACCTCAGCGTGTCTTTCCCTTGAAAGTTTGTCCTTCATAGCAATGATTTTATCCAATTCTAACCAGCACTCATGACGCTTAAAAACTTACATAATTTGAAACAGACTATCTTGTACTGTTTTTCTTCATCTTCTCATTTAAAGGGAGCATCATAAAGCCTGTCTGTAGTACAGATCCACATAAACTGACAATTTTCAGCGTGGTAGAGAAGTGGTTCCTTAGCACATTTCTCTAAAACATACTATGGAGAGGGGAAACTTTTTATTAATGTCTGTTTCTCTATTAAACCCAGAAGCCACAGATCTTGGATTTAACATCAAAGTTTATTCTTGTTGCTATGTGGGTGTTAAAATGTCAGAATACTGGAACATTTGTTATCTGTCTAAAGATAGTCTTCCAACAAATTAGAAATAAGGATAATAAACCACAGGAATCTGGAAATGAGTCATACAAACTCTGCTCTTCTTCTCTGAGAAGAATTCGTATCACTTCCTGGTAAGATACCACTAATGAGGTCTGAATTTCATTAAATGCTTCATTCTCTTTTAACTCCAAGGCTTTTCCTTTCTGAATAAAAACTAAGCTCATTTTAAGTCTATAATCCATACTTTTGTCTTTTTGAGAACCAAAAGCATCTAAAAGGATCCGTCTGTAAGCGTATGTTCCTCCTGCGCCTTTCTCGAGGGCAGACTCTGCTCAGGACAAAGTGGCCAGAGCCCGTGGGCTTTGTTTTTGGGTGTATGTTCCCACAGGCACTGAAAGGCACTACACAGAATTTATTTTTGCGAAGTGCACTTTCCGTTGGTGGCAAAACAAGGGGAGAGACAAAAGCAAACCCCCAGGTCCCCAGAACAGCAGCATGGGCCCCCAAGCCTCTCCTGAGAACCCCTTCTTTTTGACCAAGTTCTAAGAAACTGGATTATGTGCTTTTTCAGTTGGGGATATATCAGAACCAGGAGACAAAATCAAAAGGGAATCAGAGTGAGAGCCAGGAGCTTCTGGGACTTCCTCACTGCAGCAGCGCCTCCCCCGTGTGCCACCCCTACCCCCTTACCTGCGCGTGCACCTCTCCTGTGTGCGCGCCCCCTTACCTGCACGGGCACCTCTCCTGTGTGCGCACCTCCCCCGTGCGCGCTGCCCCCTTACCTGTGTGCGCACCTCCCCCGTGCGCGCTGCCCCCTTACCTGTGTGCGCACCTCCCCCGTGCGCGCTGCCCCCTTACCTGTGTGCGCACCTCCCCCGTGCGCGCTGCCCCCTTACCTGTGTGCGCACCTCCCCCGTGCGCGCTGCCCCCTTACCTGTGTGCGCACCTCCCCCGTGCGCGCTGCCCCCTTACCTGTGTGCACCTCCCCCGTGCGCGCTGCCCCCTTACCTGTGTGCACCTCCCCCGTGCGCGCTGCCCCCTTACCTGTGTGCGCACCTCCCCCGTGCGCGCTGCCCCCTTACCTGTGTGCACCTCCCCCGTGCGCGCTGCCCCCTTACCTGCACGGGCACCTCCCCCGTGCGCGCTGCCCCCTTACCTGCACGGGCACCTCCCCCGTGCGCGCTGCCCCCTTACCTGTGCGCACCTCCCCCGTGCGCGTGCCCCTCCTGTGGTCGTTCCTTACCGGTCCTGGTGAATCTGCTGGGCCACCCGGCGCCATCCGGCGAGGAGTCCGCGGAGGGGAGCGGTCGGTGGGGAGCCCGGCTCGGCGGAGGGGAGGGGGCCTGGGTCGGGGCGAGGACTCCGCGTGCAGCGCCAGGTACGCGCTTGTGGCTCTGGCATCTCGGGGAGGAAGGGGTCGTCCTGCGTCCGCGTCTGGCTCGGCCGTCCGCTGTTCCACCTTCTGGTGCGCGCGACGCGCGCGCCCCCTGCCGGGGCCTCTGCCTGCGCTTCAGTGGAGCGCAGCTTACCTACCGGGCAGGTTAATGTAGAAAATGGTGATGGGAGCGTTGGGCCTCTGGATCTATTGCATTGGCTTCCAAGAATTCTAAGTGTGTTGGGGGCCACATCCTGCCATTTTCTGTACCGCATTTAATCGTAGACCCTACGACTGGGGGAGAGATGAAGGGGAGATAGTAGCCTATTCCAGGAATAAGTGATCTAAGACTTGAACCAAAGCTGCACTCCTTGCCAGTCAGACCAGGGACTGGCAAACTGTGGCTCGGGGGCTGCCCCTTTTTGTAAGTAAAGTTTTATTGGCACACAGCCTTGCCCATTTGTTTATGGATGGCCGAGACTGATTTTGCACAGGGGGCGGAGTTGGGTGCCTGTGACACAGAGGCTGTGGCCGGGAAGCCTGAAATACTAGTGTCTGGCCCTTTAGAGAAGAAGCTTCCTACCGAGAGTTAGGCAGCAGTGTGGTTGATTCACCAGCACCTGGCTGTAATGTCAGGGGCATGTGTCCGCGTTCTGTGTCCCAGCGAGCGGCCTGTGTCACCACGGAACCACCAGACCCTGAGCTCTCAGGTAGGTTAGGACAGCATCAGCACCGCTTCCCACGAGGAGAGCTAGAGGCCCGC